TTTATCTTGCTCTCCATATTACTGGTTCCCATATTTTGGATTAAATAAAACCGAATGTTCGAAATTCAAACAAATATCACCTGAAGAAGGCCGAAACGACGTGAATCTGGCAATAAAGATGAAGACAACTGATTGAACTATGAAAATAGTGTAAATATACAGATACTTTCGGAGATAATTTTATGATGGCCGGCATCTGGTCGCATTCGGATCGTCAGCCTCTCTCCTCATTCTCTTTAACCACCCGGTGGCGTGGCAGAGGTTGCTGTGAATTAAAGAACAATTACGACTGAGTAGTAAGTTCGATCCTCACTTGGTGCCCCATACTTTCTTGTCTCACATCTGAGCTACGCTTGGAAAATCACTATTACCACCTCCTTGAGTAGACTCCTTATGTGTCACTTATCAGATCAAAGTTCTATAAAAAACATCTATCGACATACAATTTACAAGAACCCTTAGTAAAACACTAAAATTCTATATGAATCACATTACCGGAATCATTTTACAATAAGATGTATATTAAAAAGTCTTTCTTACTATTAATTTGACTTTTTTTAACATCGGGAAAGGAGTGCTGAAAGTTTTTTGGGTTTTTTTTTAAATAGAAAGACGTTCAGTCGAATGGCCGCCGTGACCAACACGCGAATGTTCAGAATAAACGTTCTTTCTAATATTCATCACTCGCAGCATGGCCCGGCGTTGCCCGTGCTTGATTCAAAAATCGTACGACTCATACAGCAATCGCTATCACTTGACTTAGAATAGTTTTGCCCTTCCTTGCCTTTAAAGAAGTGCCCTTTGCCGTGCTGATATTGCTACATGCCCTACTTCTTGCCTATCTCACACTGTGAATTTTTCTTAGCTCTATACTAAACATTAAATCTGTTACGAAAAAAGAATTAAACAAAATGAACACAAAACGATCAGCTTTAAAAAAGGACTCGTAACTGGAAAAACCGAATGAAAAAGAATGTTAACAACAAATACTTTTTCACACCCAACCCAGTTCTACGGAATCAGAATCAACTTTGAGTTTAAGCAAGCGAATGAGCCAATTGTAGTAAAGTGTCATGCAGATTTAAATTTTTCCCACTTGGGACGAATGCAGCCATCGATTTTTTTGCATGCTAGCATGCTAGTTAACATTCGTGTCAGTCAGCTGTTGGCCCTCACGCTGGCCAATAGAATCTTCCTGCCTATTTGTAGCAGCCAGCTATAGGCTCTCACTCTGGCCAGTAGAAAATGGCGGCAAACTACATGAAAACTGCCGTAGAAGCATGAAAAAATTGATTATTTCCACTATCGATGAGAGAAATGCAAAGTCGGTATTGGCCTTCCCGCTAACTTGGAGCATGTGCATGTAAATTGCGGCCGTGCATTCGTTACACACACACACACACACAGAGAGAGAGAGAGAGAGAGAGAGGGAGAGAGAGAGAGAGAGACAGAGACACACACACACACATCCTGCCTTTTATAGATAGAGATAACACAGAAGTAAAGCACTATTTGAACAGTCAAAATATGAAGAAAAATGATGAACATATAAAACAAGCCCACTTTAAAATGGCTAAAGCATGAATTCAAAAGAGCCATTGTTGGTTCTCAGCAGTCGAGATACGCATCTTTGTAGTGAGTAAGTTGTTTTTGTTCGTATGTAAAAGTTATATATATATATATATATATATATATATATATATATATAGTGCTGTTCAAATGTAAGTGAACCCCTAAGCGAATATTTTAAATAACTTTTTTTCCGGATACTCAACAAATCATAACTAATCTCTATATTTATTAAGAAAACCTTTATTAAACGAATTACAACCACTTTAAATTAATATTATCGAAAATAATAAAAATAATAATAGAAAATTAAGATTTGCAAAAATAAGTGAACCGTTACATTTAATGTTTGCTGACTCTTCATTTTTACGTCATCACCTCGACTAGTCTTTTATTATCATTTTAAAAAAGCATCTGGCAGTAGATAGCGTCAGTTTTTGACCCTTTGTCATGGCGAATCTCACACAATTGCTCGATATTGTCTGGGTTACTTGCATGTGCTACTTTCTTGAACCATATATTTTCAAATGTTTTTTTTTTTTATCAGGATTTTGAGCAACCCATTCCAAGACTTGAAATTTAATTTTTCGAATACATTTTTCTTGTGCATTTGCTTTGATACTTTGGATCATTTTCTTGTTGGAAGATCCAGTTCCTAGCTGAACTCAACTTTCGTACCGAGATCAAAACATTTTCGTTCAAATTTGCTTGGTACCTTCCAGAGTCAATTGTGCCATCGATGCGTATTATTTTGCCCGTTCCAGCTGAAGCAAAGCACGCCGCCCAAATGATAATTCTGTCATCGCCATGTTTAACGCGTTCGCACCAAATTCTTCTCTTAAAAAACGCCGTATTAAGAGCTCGCCAGACATACCGCCCATCGATCCTCCCAAAGAGTTCTAGTTTGATCTCATCCGACCATCAAACCTTTTAACTTTTTTCTAGCTTATTAATATGAGCTTTGGTCTAGTTGAACCAAGCTTC